GGGACATGGCCATCAATGGGGCACAATGGGGCACAATGGGGACACGGCCATCCATGGGGCACAATGGGGACACGGCCATCAATGGGGCACAATGGGGCACAATGGGGACACGGCCATCCATGGGGCACAATGGGGCACGATGGGGCAGCATGATTCCCGCCGGGTCCTCCCGCGGCAGGGGGCGCTGTACCTGCATGCTGTAGCTCTGCAGCCGCTCCAGCAGCTCCTCTCGACTCCCTGCGGGACGCGCGGGGGTCGGGGGTCGGAGGGGGGGGGGATCAGCCTGGCCCGCCGGCGCGGCCTGGTCCCCGCGGCCCCGCTCCGACCCCGCGCCCTCCCGTTACCGTGCACGGCCGCCCCGATGCCGCCCAGGCAGTGCCGCAGCTCCGCGGGAGCCCAACTCGCGTAATCGCCCGGGCCCGAGGCAGCCGCATCCGTCCGCTCCGCCGCCATCTTGCCGCGCTGCCGCCGCCGGAAGGCACGCACCGCACGCACGGGCACGTACAGCCAATCGGGGCGTTTCTCCGCCCCACGCGCCGCGCGCAGGGCGCTCGCAGCCAATCCGAGCCTCGCTCCGCCCCCTCCGCCGCTTCGCGCGGCGCGCACGGCCAATCCCTGCGCGCGGCACGTAGCCCCTCCCTCTGCGCTGTGGCGGAAGTGACGTCACGTAGAGGAAGCGGAAGTGTTCCTGGAGAGGAGAGGAGGCGGAGACGCGGTGCCGGCTCGGAGCCGTTCTCGTCCCGTTATGTCGCGCGCCACCAAGCGGAAGCACGTGACCCGGGAGGTGCTGGAGGAGCACGTGGTGCCCGCCCCGCAGCAGCGCATCGTCAGGGTACGGGGGGGTTGTGGGGCCTCTGTGGGGCGTCTATGGGGTCTCTTTGGGGCCTCTGTGGGGTCTCTATGGGGTATTTGGGGCCTATGGGGTCTCTTTGGGGCATCTGTGGGGTCTCTTTGGGGCATATGGGGTCTCTTTGGGTCCTCTATGGGGCGTCTATGGGACCTCTATGGGGCCTCCATGGGGCCTCCATGGGGCATTTGGGATCTATGGGGGCAGTGGGGTTTCTGTGGGGCGTATGGGGTCTCTATGGTGTTTTTATGGGGCCTCTATGGGCCCTTTTTGGGGTACTTGGGGTCTATGGGGCCAGCGGGGTCTTTGTGGGGCGTATGGGGTCTCTGTGGGGCGTTTGTGGGGCCTCCATGGGGTATTTGGGGTCTATGTGGGCATTAGGGTCAGTATGGGTCATATGGGGTCCCTGGGGGGAATAGGGTCAGAATGGGGCATATGGGGTCTCTATGGGGGTATTAGGGTCAGTATGAGGGATATGGGGTCTCTATGGGGTATATGGAGTCTCTGTGGGGTCAGTGGGGTCCCTATGGGGGCAATGGGGTTTCTATGGGATCAGTGGGGTCCCTATGGGGACATTGGGGTCCCTATGGGGCCAACGGGGTCCCTGTGGGGTTTTGTGGGGCCGCGCAGGTGCTGAGCAGCCCTGGCAACAACCTGCACGAGGTGGAGACGGCCGACGGCAGCCGCTTCCTGGCCAGCATGCCGCCCCGCTTCCGCCACCACGTCTGGATCAAGAGAGGTGCGCCCCATGGCCGCCCCATAGCCGCCCCCATAACAGCCCCATGGCTGTCATGGCCACCCCCATAGCCGCCCCATGGCTGTCCCTGTGGCCGCCCCCATAACCACCCCCATGGCCGCCCCATAACCACCCCCATAGCTGCCCCATAGCTACCCCATGGCCACCCCATGGCTGTCGTGGCTGCCCCCATAGCCGCCCCCATGGCTGCCTTGGCCAGACCATGGCCACCCCATTACCACCCCACGGCCGCCCCCACAGCCGCCCACATGGCTGCCCCATAGCCGTCCCTGTGGCTGTCGTGGCTGCCCCCATGGCCGCCCCATTACCACCCCACAGCCGTCCCCATAGCTGCCCCATGGCCACCCCATAGCTCCCCATGGCTGCCCCCTATAGCCGCCCCCATAGCCCTCTATGCAATCCCCCCCCCCTCCGTCTCCCCCATCCCCTCCCCCTGATTTACCCTTTATCCCCTC